AAAATATTTTTAACTGTGGATATAAAGAAAACTTTATCTGCTTTTTTACTAAATTGAGAAAAAGCTAAAATAAAAATTGTTTTAGTTCATAAGCAGATGTTTCTACATTCTTTGCATCTTTGAAAAAAGTCATATTATACCTGATACTTACCCGTTTTGCAAGCGGTGAGATATTGCTCAATAACGTTTTGTGCATCTTCTAAAGGAGGTATTACATTCAAAAAATGCCAGGCATTGTGGCGGGTGCCTGTAGTCCCAACTACTTGGGAGACTGAGGCAAGATAATCACTTGAGTCCAAGAGTTTGAGGTTGCTGTGAGCTGTGATGCTACAGCACTCTACTAAGGGCGACAAAGTGAGACTCTATCTCAAAAAAAATAAAATAAAATAAGGAAGGTCACAGGGCTTAGAAGTATATAATCATTCTGATGTGTCTTTGGGGACAACAAAGCTTTAAGCCAGTGTTGCTATACTTTACTAATGATTCCTTTTTAGTTTCTTAAAGACTAATGAAACATTTTCTCTGGGTGGGGAGTGGATGGGGCCACTAATTTTTCCTTTAATGTATGTTTCATTTCAGTGACAGATATGCTCCAAGCTTGCATGAACTGGGGCATTTTAACATCCCAGTACTCTGTGATCCAGCCAATCTCCAATGGTTTATTCTTACCAAAGCGCAGCAGGCAAGAGAGAACATGAAAAGGAAAGAAGAGTAGGTATTGTTAGCCCTCTGTAAAGTCATATCCTTCAGTCTAACTTTAAAAATCATGTATTTGGAACTCATAAATATGGGACCTTAAAAGTCTGTTAAACCTAGGAAGTTGTCTAATTTTTAGATATTCCATAATTATTTTTCCCCACTTGCAACAGATTAGATGTGGCTGTTTTCAAGTATTTTTACCTAAATTATGTTGCCACCATGTACCTGTTTGAGAAGTAGGGCTCGTTAATACAAAATTCAACTCAGGAACAGAATTAAAAGTAAGAGTATCAGAAAGAAATTCTTCAGATGGAAAAGACTGGCAACAACAACAAAAAAATCTTCATGGTTTAAAATATTTTTAACTGTGGATATAAAGAAAACTTTATCTGCTTTTTTACTAAATTGAGAAAAAGCTAAAATAAAAATTGTTTTAGTTCATAAGCAGATGTTTCTACATTCTTTGCATCTTTGAAAAAAGTCATATTATACCTGATACTTACCCGTTTTGCAAGCGGTGAGATATTGCTCAATAACGTTTTGTGCATCTTCTAAAGGAGGTATTACATTCAAAAAATGCCAGGCATTGTGGCGGGTGCCTGTAGTCCCAACTACTTGGGAGACTGAGGCAAGATAATCACTTGAGTCCAAGAGTTTGAGGTTGCTGTGAGCTGCGACACCATGGCACTTTACCAAGGGCAACTTAGTGAAACTCTATCTCAAAAAAAAAAAAAAAAAATTTAAAAAAATTGTTGCTTTTCTAAAGATGTTGCCAGGAAGTTTGGTTACCAAGCATGTGTTCATTCATTCATTTATTAGCCAGTATTTACTGTGCCTGTCTTGTGCCCGAAGCTGTGATAGGGGCCACTGGTAGAAAGTTGAAGGACTGGTCCCTGCCCTCCTGGAATTTGTTTCTAGTAGGAGACATGAGTGATATGGGTACATCAGAGGACTCTGTGCCAGAGAGTCAAGTTGAACAGGAAAAACCAAAGCAGACAGCTCTTCCCTGGACCAGAGAACAGGGAAGGCTGTGGCAGAAGAACAGGAAGGGAGCTGACGGGAATGGCTTTGCACGCATCTACAGCAGGGGTGTTCCCTGTCATAGGGGTATCTTATTTCTTGATTGGTTGTTCAGCATTTGTTTGTGGTATTACCTTTCTAAATTGTAAGTCTGCTTTAACTTCTAGGAGCAATTCTAGCCAATTTTTCATTATTAAAACTGATGATTTTGTCTGCTAGCTGATGCTTTTCTCTATGACCATTTTATAGCTTTGGAATAATGCTACTAGACTGTGAGGAAGAAAAATAAAAAGAAATAAAATTCAAATAGGTTGATTTTGAAAGTTCCCTTTTACCAGTTGCTCAGGCAAATAAAAACCCTGAGTCATCTTGGTTCCTCTCCCAACTTCTTCATGAGTCCTCTGCCCACAGAGGAAGGCAGAACATGCCCTTCTTCCTTTCCTGTCCTGCCACACCTGGTCTAGGGCCTCATCATTTCATATGACCTCCCATCTGGTCTGCGAGCTTAGCCATCCCCTCTACCCACCCGAAGTCAATGCTCATCAGAGTAGCTGGAGTGAGAACCCAGTCAGGGTTGTCACCAACCACACATGCCTGTGCCTACCAGCCCCCCTGCATAGCTCCTGAGACTCCCCCCTTACTCATTTTTCTCCAGCCCTATTAGCCTTTTAATCCTCCTTGAGCACCCTTGGCACACATTCATTCCTGGGCCTGTATACCCTTCCCCAGCCTGGAACACGTCTTCCCCAGAAATCTTCACCTCCCTCAGTCCCCTGCTCACATTCCGCCTTCTCTGGCTGCAGGTCGTGGCATGGAGCTCCCGCCCTCCACTATGCTTTCCTCTCCATTTCACCTGCCTTTCTCCCTTGGCTTAGCACCATTGACCTCAGCAAACTCTTCTTTCCCATTTGTTTATTGTCTCTCTCTCCCTTCTAACAGAAAGTGAGCTCTATAAAGGCAGAGACTTTGGTCTGTCTTTTTTGTCCAGTGCTGGCTGGAATTGATGCCAGGCACACAAGAAGCCTTCAGAAAGTACCCACTGACTGTGCTAACTTTGGCTCATTTCCTTACCCCCCTCATTCCTATACTTAACCTCCAAGGAAAGGAAAACCCTTGCTGCTGGTCCCCACCTACATTTCCTCTTAGCCATGGCCTTTGCCCCCTGAAAGCCTCTGACTCTGGGTTTTTGTTTTTGTTTCAAAATATTAAGGGAGGACAAATGTTTTAGGTTACATGGATTGCTTTTGTAATGCTTGAGTCCTGGCTATAGGTGTGCCCATTACCCAAATAGTGTTCATAGTACCCATTAGGTAAGTTTTTTACCTCCCCTCCTCCCCTTTTCCCCCTAATAAAAAACTTCTGCACAGCTAAGGAAGTAGTCAACAGAGCAGATAGACAACCTACAGAATGGGAAAAAATGTTCACTAGCTACACATCCAATGAAAAGCTAATAACCAAAATTTACAAAGAATTCAAGCAAATCAGCAGGAAAAAAACATAAGAATAACACAAAAGCTAAGGGTTTTATATGCCTGACTTTCTGATGACTGCTATGTGAAGCAAGATAAGTTTTTAAATTATGGATTAGTTATTTTCACCCCATTATTGCTAAAAAGATTGAACAAAATGCTTTTAGAGATAGATGTGGCAATAACTCAGTTCTGCGTGGTAACTGTCACGTAGGGGCCATTTTTAGTGTTGTGAGTGGAAACTTACAGGCCTAATTTTTAAGAATATATTTACAGGGTGCATTCTTTTATGTTTGATAGCTATGTCAATATTATTTTTATTTTCAATGTAATAGGTTAAAGATTATGGAGAATGAATTGATACAGGCTTCAACAAAGAAATTTTCCCTGGAAAAGTTATATAAGGAGCCCAGCATTTCTAGTATACAAATGGTGGATTGCTGTAAGAGACTTCTGGAAGAATCACTGCCTTATCTACATGGGATGCACCTGTGCGTTTCACATTTTTACTCTGTTATGCAAGACGGAGACCTTTGTATTCCTTGGAATTGGAAGAATGGAGAAGCCATTAAGTAAAACAGAAATCTATTTTATTTTTTTAAAGAGATAAGAAAGAAACTGTTAAATTAAACTTATTTAAATCCATAATTTGATACAACAGTATTATTTACGTATTACAAGAACAAAGTTTCTAACTGCTGCTTTGAAAGTAGACATTTCTAAAAAAATTAATTTCTGCTAGGAAACTTGTTTTAAAAAGGTTTTACCTCCCAGTCTTTCGATGTTGATTGGCAAGACTAGGTAAAAGGATGTCAGAGTAAAAGAACATATTTTTAGTGATATGTAAGTGAATGATTTTATAAGAGTCATATATTTTTATATGAGTAAATATTGGTTTGGGGCTGGACAAGTCTGTGTATGTAAATGTAAACAGGCCTTCTATCCAGAGTATAGCTCAGAAGTAGTGGAACTCATTCATCTTTATAGTTACAACTTATATATACACACATATTTTGCAGCCAGAAATGGACAATTGATGTCCAAAATAGATGATTGATAGGTAGCAAAAATTGGATAACCAAATTTTGCCTAAGAGAGTAGAAGAAAAAACAGCAGTTGGATAATGGTATTAACATTGTCATAAGTAGTCTAATAACCAGTTTATTAAAACATCTTCATGATGGAGAATTTAAACCCACAGTTTCTCCCATTAATAAAATTATATAGTAACTATTGTCAGCATGAAACCAAGGAAGTATTTTTGGTTTGGGGGAGATCTTTTGAGACAGAGTCTTACTCTGTTATCCAAGCTAGAGTACCATGGTGTCCACCTAGCTCAGAGCAACCTCAAACTCCTGGGCTCAAGCAATCCTCTTGCTTCAGCCTTCCGAGTAGCTGAGACTATAGGTGCCCGCCACCACACCCAGCTAATTTTTTTATTTTTAGTAAAGGTGGGGGTCTTGCTATTGCTCAGGCTAATCTGGAACTCCTGAGCTCAGGCAATCCACCTGCCTCAGCCTCCCAGAGTGGCTCATTACAGACACGAGCCACCACATGAGCCTGGCCTAGGAAATATTTTTGAAATATTTAATGAGGTGACCCTTTTTTTTTCATGAGCAAACACTATCTAGGAAAATCCTTCCCAAAGAGCTGTAGAAAGTAGAATGAAGTATAAAAGGATTTGGACCATTTAGACTGAATATCAGTGTCACTACTATCAACCTCAATCTTCCTGTGTCTACTGGTATTTGAAACCCATCTATGAGCCCTGGCCCCCCTGAGTCACCTCTCATTCAATGTCAGTACAGCTTAACCCTGGCTGGCTCATGACGTCCCCAGAAGAGCCCAGGCACCTACTCTCTAGAGTAGACTCAGTGCTTCTCTCTACAGGTTTATGCCAAGATTCCTTGGGATTTATTTTTAACCAGATCCAAATTTCTTTAGTTCATTTCTCAAGAGAAGGGGACAAGGTAAATCCTGGTTTGGGACATCATTTTTGTGAGCCTTACTGAAGAAATCAGAAAGGAATTTTTCTGAAGTGCATTAGAAAGTAAAAGAGGGCAGCACCTGTGGCTCAAAGGAGTAAGGCGCCAGTCCCATATGCTGGAGGTGGCTGGTTCAAACCCAGCCCCAGCCAAAAACCGCAAAAAAAAAAAAAAAAAGAAAGAAAGAAAGAAAATGAAAGAGATGTTACAGTCAATTTTGGAGTATGTTTTAAATTTATCTAAGACTCTGAAACAGTTTAAATTCAAATGTGAGTTCAAAAGAAGTATTAATTTGTAATTATTATAGTTTGTGCATATCATCCCTTTTAACCTGTGCCTAACAACTGTACTTAAATTTTGTTTTCTAGTGTAACAAATGTTGCCTATAAAGATTTTCCAGAGCCAAATAATGGGAGTAAAAAATTCCTCAAATGTTATATAAGCAAATATATTGGAAAATCAGATTTGGATTATGCCATTTCTAAAATCAACTAATATAGAATCCTCAGTAATATGTTTTGAATTGAATTTTGTCTAAGAACTAATTGTTACTTAAAATAAATAACACCTACATCAACCAGATAACCATTTTCTTTTGTTAGTCATTTATTCACAGTTGTACAACTATTACAGTGTAATAGGAAATTATAAAAAATCGGTAACCTGTATAGCCTGTTGGATTTATTCTCCTAATCTAGCATAAAATGGAAAATTCTGGCAAGGGATCAGGCCCCTCTAACTATGTTTCTGAGAAGTGTTGGTTAAGAAATGGTCTCCAAAGGGGCCTGAGCTCTAGATCAGGGCTAGGGCTTTACCAAGGGAGAAATAGATCCTGAACTACCTGGGGCCTGCACCCCTCCCTCTCCCACCCCAGCTACCCATTAGTTCTTAGAGTTAATTAATCCTTAGATAGATAAAGCTACATCTTCCCCACACCTGACTTTCTCCTTCTTCTCTTTTTTTTTTTTTTTTTTGAGACAGGAGCCTCAAGCTGTCCCCCTGGGTAGAGTGCTGTGGCATCTCAGCTCATAGCAACCTCCAACTCCTGGGCTCAAGCGAGTCTCCTGCCTCCACCTCCCAAGTAGCTGGGACCACAGGCGCCCGCCACAATGCCCAGCTATTTTTTGGTTGCAGCCATCATTGTTGTTTGGTGGGCCCGGGCTGGATTCGAACCCGCCACCTTGGGTGTACGTGGCTGGCGCCTTAGCCACTTGAGCCACAGGCGCCAAGCCTCTCCTTCCTCTCTTAAAGGCCTCCACTTCCAGACAGCCTCCCTGAGCTAATGAGAGTGGTCTTTTGAAGAGTGGGCAAGTGGGACAAGAGGGCCCATAGGCACATCTAGGGGCCAGCTCACCTTTGGAATCTTAAGGACTGAATAAATGTACATCCTGGACAGGTCCCTGGAGTGAGCCCCTCAAGCTCAGGTCACTGTCCCAGCATCCTGGTACCCTGCTTTCCCCATACTAATTTGGCCTTTGTACAGTACTTATATATACCCCGCACAGAAATGCAGACTTAAACCTTGAGGTAAATCCTGGTTCTTTTCTTCTTAGTAATCCAACAAACACTTAGGGAGCACCTACTGTGTGCAGAGTCCTAGGCCCTGGGGACACAGCAGGGACTACATGGAAATACACTGCCTTTGAGGAGCTGACATCACAGACACTGAATATCACTTAATCTTCCCTTGGTGTATTAATTCCTGTGGCTGAAATTAAGTAGTCTAAAACAACACAGATTTATTCCTTTGGGTTCTGGGGGCCAGAAGTCTGGAATCAAGATGTCGCCAGGAATCTCCTCCCTCCTGAAGTTCTAGGGGAAGTTCATTTCTTTGCTGCTTCTAGCTCCAGGTGACTGTCACCGTTCTTTGACTTGTGGCCACATCTCTGCAATCTCTGCCTCTCATCACCTGCCCCTTTACAACCTCTGTGTATATCTCTAAAGTCTCTCTGCCCCTCACTTGTAAGAACACATGTGACTGCGTGTAGGACACCAGCACCACCAATCGCCCCTCGCTAAGTAATACTAGCAAAACTTCTCTCAAGAGCCTTAATCACCTATTTTGCCCTATAAGGTAATACTCAAGATTTCAGGGATTAGGACATGAACATATTATCTTGGGGGCAATACTCAACTCACTACACTTTGGTGACCTGAGATCACTTAACTTTGTTTCATTCTGCCCTTGACTGTCTTAGCAGAGAGCATCTGTGGACATTGTGCCAGGTTCACCTAACACCTTGGGCACAGGCTTTCTCTTCCTCTCTGAGCATTATTTCATTTCCACTCATATCCCCAAAGTTGGGTTTCCATGGGTTACAGCTTCAATTGGCCTGCCCTGTTTCCTGGTCATGTGGGTTAGCTCCAGTCCCTCCCCCCACCCTCACCCCACCCCAACGTAACCTTCTGTGCACAGCCTCTTCTCTTTCAGGGTTCCAAGACAGGGTAGCTGCAGGCCTTGTGTTGTCACTTAGCCACTCACTGCTGTCCACTCTCAGCTCTGGGAAGATGGACAGAATTCCCTTAATAAAGCACCCTCCTTCAGACAGCATGCCAGGGCCAGGCTTCTCAGGAGGGTGCAGGCGGCACACTGCAGGAGGAAGGGCTTGCCTTGAGCTGCTGCACAGCTGTGGAGGTGACAGGCACAGGCACAGGCACAGGGCCCTGGCCCTGCCTGATCATCACCTTCCTACAGCCCTCTCTGCATGAACACAGAAGTCCAGGCCTCCTGCCCCACCTTGCTCCACCTCCCTCTGCTTACCCAGTGACTGGACCAGCTATGGCTGACCAGCTCAGGGAGTATCTCTGCCATCCAATGGCTACAACCCTGCCCTTTTCAATGAGACCTCAACACCAGTCCTGGAGAGGAGCTGCTGGAAGGCCTGTTCAAAAAGAGCATGGTGGCGCCAGCCACGTACACCTAAGGTGGCGGGTTCGAATCCCCAGC